GTTCTAGACTCTAGAAGTCACTAGCTGGATATATTTCTTTACTAAGCATTAAAAATGATCATTTTATCCATGATTGAATTCATTTGTTGAATAACTTTTGAGTCCTTAAAAACAGGGGGCTGTATATAAATATGTCACTCTTTGACAGTGGGGGCAGGATTTTTATAAACAGCTAAAATGACAAAAATTGTAGCTGTGTTTCAAAATAGTAATTTCCTGCAGCTTTCAAACTGATGTGAGAGCTGGTGAAGACTTTAGTGCGGAAACATGTCAAGCCAAGATCAATCAGCTGTGTAAAGCTGGTATTACATACTTACTGTGGCTGATTATAACTTTAGACGAGGGGGTATACATGACAGGAGCAGTATGGAGCTGTACAGTGTATTTATTCTGATAGATGATCTTAAACCAGTTTAAGTCCTTGATAAGAGCACAGCAGTGATACCCATTCATCCTATAAGTAACATGAATGTCTGTGAGATTTTATGGCGGCTCAAAGAGACGCTCTTTAAGGGTGCGTTTGCCGTCATTCAACAATAAAGTATACTGACAGGAGAGAAGGGAGCATGGGCAGGCAGCACTGTTTTCTGCTGGAATCAAACCTGGACTTCATGGCTCGTGAGACTCGGGTAGTAAATCCAAGACCAACTGTGGATGATGCTTTTAACTTAATGAACATTTCACATGAAAATGTTGCCACATGAAGGTCTTAGCATGTTTATCTCAGCCAAGGGTGGCGGATGATGCCACAAAGATCACGGTGATGTGATCTGATTTGATTTATAATGTCTGCCTGACCTTTATTACCTGTGAGCAGAGGGTGTTTGAGTGGGGGAGAGGGGAAGAAGGACGGGAGAACGGGTGGAGCAAAGGGGTATCTGCGGGTGGCCATGTTCAGGCCCGATAGGGGGCTACACACATGGTTATAGATCGCGAGTGACATCCAGTAGCTCCTGTTTTTCTACAGTAACTTTTCTCTGGAGCTGGTTTTCCTACACCTTTCCTACAGTAACGATCTCCTGAGCTTTATCAACAGTTAAAAGAACAACTTGAGCAGCTTTCCCAGATTTATTCAATCAGTTTAGGGTTACGTAAGTAGAAGCTACTTTTGGCTGCCCGCTTTTCACGAGGGGGTTGCCACAGCGGGCAGCTCTGCATGTTTGCTTTGCCAGGTAGGTACATGTGTAAACCACTACAGTAGGAATCTTTTCAGAGAAAAAGCTTCATAAAAAACTGTCCCACACATGACTGCCATGGTGTATTCTCCATGGCAGTCATGTCTGTCATGGCAAACACTAATGAAGCTTATGCAGGAGTTCAATAAGGAACATCTGTATTCACTCATTTGTCTGCGTTCCCGTGTGCTTGGCTGCTAAGCTTATCCATTACATCACTTCCACTTTCCCA